GCAAAAAGTTCCAGCACTTGAATTAGCCAGACTCGTTATGTTAAAAATTGAATGCTTTCCCCAACACCTATGGACTAAAATTTCCGTATGGTTCATATAAATATTGAATTTGTAATATTTACTGAAGCTGCTACTCCATCTCTCCATAGATCAACCGCGCAAAGACACTTAGTTGCGCCGGCACGTCATTGCGCGTTGACTTTTACTGTTATCATCGGTCGATACTTATCATCGTTCATTGTTAATAATTTCGTTAGTTATCATCAACTGAGTATTACACTGCTCATCTTGTAGGCACTTTGAATCCTTAACGTAGTAGGTGTACCAGCAGTAATTTGCCGTCGAAAAGAAATAGAGATTTTTGGAGAGGCATGATGCAGCGCTACAGGTAACGGCGCACTCCTGTTCTTTTGACGTAGATTCTGCTTAGCGAGTAGGAAGAGGACAGCATGCATGTATCTTGCTTAATTTACTGAACTGCAGCACGGTGCGTTACTGACAGTACACGGTATTTTAGAGAATGCATGCAGCGGTTCCCGTCAACATCGTCCTCAGCTTGCCCTAATTTTCCCCTCAACCATCATCGCTCATCCTATCGCAAAAGCACGAATGGTTGTTGTCCGGATATCAACGAAGATGGATTATTGCTGGCCAGTGAGCCGGTCTGCTCAAGAACGTTGAAGCGTATCCCACCTCCCCGTCCTCCTCAAGCTCCCAGTGCTCGTGATTTTTCCTGGGAGAAATTGGCGAACCATGGAGTGGAGAATAATCATATGCCCATGTAAGTGAGACAGTGGTGCACTCGAGGGGAGACGGTCACCTCATTTTCTGTTCTGATTTTACTGTAATCTTCTTGGTGATTTGTCAGCGCATTATTGAAGGGTAGAACTGCTTCAGAGAGCCAATGAATTGCTCCCCGTACTGGCATACTACCAGGTTATGGATTTCAAAAATGCAGAGGGCATTGTGGGATGGGAGGTGACACATTAGATTGGCGATACTTCCTCCCCTAGAGTTCACCACTTGGCTTGATATTTCACTTTGATAACCGTGCTCTTTACTTTGATATTAAATCTGCACGTGTGCATGGTTTTCAGATATGAAAATGTTGGTTACAGATCATGCGCTTCCTATAAAAGCTCCTACAGAGAAACCAATTTCCCGACGTTAAATGTAAGTTTTCACAAGACTCTTCTTGTAGATGCCCCTTTCGATTTCAGGAAATTCTAAATACGCAAAACAGTTTTAAAGAAAGCTCCATCCATTTATGCAGAGACACAAGCTGCTTTCCCATACAGTGCACCAGAATTTCGTAAATATCCATTTCGCTTTCACCACATTTCAGAATCCACTCTTTAAGGTCGCTTTTTCCAAAAGAAACTTTTCTGTTCAACTTTGTTCGGACTGTTGATTAGTCAGGAAATTTTAAAACTCTTACTTCAGTACTATGTGGTTTTCGATTCATTTTGTCCTCACTAGGTCACCGTTACATGTTACTCGTTTTGTACATCTCGTACGGTAGTAGAACGGCTTTTCCAAATTCCTCATTTCAAAAAATAATGTACAGATTTTGTTCCCTCTCACAAATTATTCACATTCAATGAAGCTTATTCAGGACCTGAATAGCTGCAGGACGCGGGTGCAGCATGCATTCTCGGATTATGATTTACCTGACCCGGCTGCAAATAGTGCTACTGGAAAATGTCAGTCTCGTACGAATTTCTCGACTGTCAATACTAGTGAAGCTTCGCGGAATATTGCTAGATACGGCACCACTGTAAAGCAACCATCCTCAAAGTATCGTTTTGGCCAGGTTTGTTTCAGTTCATTTCTAGAGAATTATGTTTGTTGACATTTCGCTAGCCATTCTCACTGCATCCTAAAAACGGATATGGTTCGAAGGCAGGGCTGACGCGGCAGAGAGTTAAAAGAAAAAATAATTGGCGATACAAGAAAGATTAAAGGCGGAAGAAGTTAGAAAATTAATTTTGGCGAGAGCACACTGCTGAAAAACCTAATTGATATTACTGAGTACCTTCAAAACAAAATGCTAGAAGTTCATGTCTTTCCAAACCAAATTTTTAATAAGCTTACGCTTTCGGGGAGAAAGGCAACCACTTTCTTTCCCTCACTCCATCCCTCTTCCAGTTCTGCTTTCCACAAATGCAAGGCAGGTTCTTTTGTTCAGTTAATGTGCCCATGTATAAAAACAAAGTGGGCAGTAAAGTGAGAAGGTTGGTGAAAATGAGGAAGCTGTAGAAAGAGCAGATAAGTGAATAGCAGTTGCACTGACATCGAGGATGCTGAAAGTACGCCCGCTCCACTTACACAGCGAATTTTGACTAGCCATAAGGCGCTAAAATGTGCACTTTGCATAATTTGTGTGAGAATTCATTCTTCTGTATTGGTCAGCTGGCATTCTTTTGGATGTCTCTGTCAATTTGGTTGAAATTTTGCAGGAAAGTAGTCGTGAATGTGTAGCTGCGACAAGCAGTAGCACCAAAGAGCAACGAGTTATGTTGCAGCCGAACAGTGAGCCGTCTTCCTCACTATGCCCGGATTATTCATCCAAACTGGGCAGTTCGTCATTCTCCAAATTCCGACAGAACAGCCCTCCGGTTACTGGTTTGTTGGTAAACGATGGGAAAGCGCCACTGCGCTATGCTGTTCTGCCAACCTCGCGCTCATACAATGAGGGCTTCGCAACGGCGAGTCTGGATAGAAGGGCTGTGAAGGGAAGGTGCATGCTTTCATTGTTATTTTATCGAAGAGGATCTGATAAACTAACTCATTTTGATTATCATGCTGAATTGAACAAAGTATCGGAAGAGACTGACATTTTTTTATAGAGGCATATTGAAAGGCTTAATATATGTCTATTTATTTATGGGTAATGTTGCAGGCAGACGTCCTGTGGCTCGATGGGCTATCATCGGGTTCGACCACCACAACTAGGATCATCTGGCGGAAAAACAGCAAACGGAACACCAGTTCATGGTGCGCATTCGCCGATGAGTGCTCTGCGATTTACCACAACATTCCCAGTTGCGAACGGCATTGCGAACGTGGAAAAAAGGTAACATGCTACTGCAGCATTAGTTTTCATCGAAGTGCGGTTTGGCAGGCGTATCTTTTCATCTCTGAGTTGCACGCTGAGGGTCGTAGAAGACCTTCTTCAGGGTAGACCAATTACGGAATTTTTTTCGAGAGGTAAGTGTGCGGTTGCCCGCGAATTTTTCATCTATTTTTTCCGCACGGTCCAAAAACTTGTTATTTTTTAATGCAAGTCCAGCCTGGCTTGGTTTATGTGCCCCTCCAGTGTTTCATGTACTGTTTATTTACCACTAGCACATCGATGGCTTTTTTTTAGCAAACCGCATGCTTCACCGGACATCCATCGCTACCAGCGGCATTCGCCGTTACAACAGCACGGTACTTTAGACCATGGCACAAATCACCGTCCTCCGCCACCGGCTTATCCAGTTGCTGTACGAAATGGGATTTGCAGTGGCAGTAGTCCACTGGAAAAAGTTGTTCCGGCAGAAACAGCTGCACGCAGTGACACGCTGATGAATTATTACAGCGATAAAACTCACGGGCGAGGGAAGAACGCTACAGTGGTCTAAATGTATTTGTTTGTCTCTCTCTCTCTCAGTTACGGTGATATATCAAAGTTCACTTAGTCTCGTACAAAACTGCCTTCTTTTCCGGATGCAGTTTTATTCGCCTGACCAAATTACAACATTCCTGTAACATAACTCATTAATTATTGTGCCTCAGTGATACGTTAAGATGTTGCCAGCTGTGTGATATTTTGTGCACTGTATATGTTTTTCCGAAAAAAAAAAAACGCGATAAAACGGTGTTATCGTACACAGTGCGCTGTACATTTCGATGTCTCCGCTGCCATTATCAAAACAATCAGACGCTGAGCACCAATAACGTGTATTCAGACCTGGATTCAACGACCACATAAGAAATTTCTCGTCCTTTGGGAATTCAGCCATTGGGAAATGTTTCTTCTAATTGCGTGGTATTGTAAAGAAACCGGGAGTTGCAGCAACCTCTGTACGAAAGAGAGAATAAAAAGACTCGGTAGGGCTTGGAGTTTGCCTGTAGTTTTACGAATCTGAAGGAGGCTTATTTTGGTGAATTTGGCTGAAGTCATTGTCTGTGGTTGCTAGTTTTTCGTAAGTTAGTGCTGGTCAAGACGGCAGACTTCAGTTGTGGCGATGCTTCGATTAGTGCGGAATTACCAGGGTATGCGAAACAGTTGTGATTGGCTTCTATGTTTGCGGAAGACATGACACCCTTTTTTATGCGTTTTTTGCAGCAATGCAATGCGAAAAACGCATATTGACGAGAGGTTGTCTGTGTGTTCGTGTGTCTGTGTGCCTGTGTGTGCGTCTGTCACGCACTTTCATCTCCGGACCTATAAAAGCTGCGATGTGTCTGTGTGTGCGCTGGGCCTCTGTATCGGTTTTTCATCTCGAGACCGGCAAAAGCTACGGAGCTGAAACTTTGGGGACTTGTGCGTGTGTGTGTGCGCTGCGCGTCTGTACCGATTTTTATGCGTTTTGTGCTGTGTAACAGCCGCGTTTTTTGCAGCTATGCAATGCAGAAAACGCATATTGACGAGAGGTTGTCTGTGTGTGTGTGTGTGCGTGCTGTATGTGTGTGTGTTTGTGTGTGTGTCTGTGTGTGCGCAGCGCGTCTGTACCGATTTTTCATCTCTCTGTGTGTGCGTCTGTCACGGTTTTTCGTCTCAAGACCTACAAAAGCTATGGGGCTGAAATTTTGGGGACTTAATCTACATGTACGTACGGGCCCCAATCCCCATAATTGGCGCCATACCCCGCGTGGTACCCGCGTACGGGTCCCCCTTCCCCAAGTTTTTTTTGGGTCAGTTCATAACTCGAGGATCTGAGAAGCTAGAAGGCTGAAATCTTGGGGTA